AATAAATTATTTCATGACATTCACTTTGTAAAAATAATTACTACATTGTTGAATATAAAATGTAACATTTTTAAGAATGTAAACAGCAAAATTTGATTACTTACATAAAAATACTACTTTATTTCATTTTGAGTACATGGTGAATAATTATCCATGCTTATGTCACCAATATCTGTTAAAAGACAAAACCTCTGCAAGCTGAACTGTGCAGATATCATTACAAAAAACAGTATAATGTGTGATTAAATTTGAAGCCATCAGGTATCATAGACTCCATTACAGTTACACCATTTGCAATTATAGTTAAAAACCTTATGTGGAATCCATTAATATATGCATCATAGGTAATAACACTCCATTTCCAATGTATTAACTCCAACTTCAAGGCAATAAAATGACAGGGTGAATTTATTACAGTATATACATTTTAGCTTGTACCTATGCATGTGTCAGTGCATGCTTGTTATAAGCATACATGCATTATTCTCTTTTTAATAGAAAATCACAAAAAGACTTCACACTAGGCCTTTTTTCTGATACAGTTGCTTTTCTAAAAAAGACAAGGGGGAGTAAACCAGAGCACGAAGTACATGGGTGAAGATGGGCTGTGTTCCTGGTGTCTAGACACCCACATTACTTAGAGAGAGAAACAAAATTCTACCTATAATCTGACACATTTTTAAGAGTACAAAAAAACAAAACAAATAATTCATATATTATGTTGCAAGTTAGAGCTTTAACAGAAAGTAGATCTGTTTTTAGAACAGGTACAATGTTTTGATCTCTGGTGTGATCGTTCTCAAGTACATAAGGTTTCACGGTGAATGTTTCAGTTGAATGTTGCCTTAAATACTAAAATGATCATTACCATTAAAACTTGTGTAGTTGAGAATTATCGCACCAATGATTTAAGTGTCATACCTATTCTAAAAACAAATTTTATATACCATAAAAACTTTAACTTGTAATATAATATAATTAATCAGTAAGTAAACTCACAACGAAATTATTAAGTCATGCATATGTTGGTAGATGACTGCCATGTTATCGATAAGGAAAAGCATTCACTTATGCATTACTTAAAAGTATGCTTTATGTATGAGTCATTTTTAATGGTTTTAGATTTTTGGTTTTCTGTAGATAATTTTTGAAGTGAATGTTTTCTGTTTTAAGTTCTGCAGAAGTCCACATACACAAATGTTTTGAGAGAAAATAGAAGTTTAACATAACCAAATAAATTATTGTCATGCAGTTTTATTTTTGGCTGTAGTGGGAAATGACTTATTCACATTGATATTAAATCTTTATTCAGTTAATGTTTAGAATATATATATATATATATGTATTCATTTTTCACTGTTTAAAATTATTTTTTAATCGATTTCTTCCTTGTGATTTTTTTTCAGGAGTGGGCACAAGAAGGACTTTTTCTCTCCACTACTAGTGACCAAGCATGTAAACTGTTTGATTCAGCACTCACCCAGGTTTATTCTGTTTTCTTCAAAGACTTTCAAATTGATTCCTGTTTCTATTCTAGATTTGGCTTTGAAAGAAATTGCTTTTATCACATAAAACTTGTAGATATTAAGTTTCTCTTATTCATTACTTTGATTTTGGTTTTTGTTATTTATAAGTCCTGTACTTTGAATATTTTTTGTAATGTCTAAAATACTCCTAGTACCAACCATAAGTGTTTAGGGACCACATATTTTTTTAAAGATTACATCTGTGGGGACATTAAGGTTAACTAGTGGCTCAAGAACGTGAGAGCCATTTGTGAAGAAAAAAGTTGTGTTTGATTCCACTATTTCAGTTTTTGTTCTGGTCATTTTAATCATACATCAAATAATGACTTGCTTGAAAGAGTATTATTTATTTCTTTTGCTTTTTGTATTAAAGTTCCTTTGGGGCATACCAAAGACCCTCTGAAACTTTCATTGTAATCAGGGTTTGGTAAGTTGTAAATTTTTAATGTTTTCTTAGGGACAGACAACCACACACAAATCACTAAAATAGTTGAAGAACAATGTATTACTTTAGTATGATGAAAAGCACTGTATTGTACACCTGTCTTAATCTTGTGATGGTGTTTATACTGTGCTGTTATATACAAACTTTAGTTTTTGCTCTAAATCCAAATATCCTGGAACAGTAGCTTATGCAATCACCTAAAAAAAATATTTATGTGCTCGGTTTAAAATTTAAGAACAAATATACTTGTACCTGCCACAGAAGTACATTTTATTTGTGCCACAAAATCACACAAATTTAAATTTGCATTAAACTCATAACTACTCCTAAACCTTATCTTCTAAATAATGTATATGAAAAAAAAAGAGAGAGAGTGTGATCTTGTGAAAATGTTTCATTAGTGTGATCTTGTGAAAACATTTCATTAGCAAAGAATCATATTGTAGATTACATAAGGCAAGCTAAGGAAAGCATTTATTAAAGACTATTAGTTGAAGGATTATACCCAAGTTTATTTAATGTGAACTGTGAACAACTATACCTATAGATAACTGATATAACTACTGTATAAATATCAGAGCTTGAACAAATTATGCTTACTTTTCCATCTCTAAACTGCAAACGAATCATTCTTCAAAGCTGCCGGTTCACAACTTGAAACTAAATTGAGAGAGCAACAATTTTTACACACCAGTCTGGTTTTGTACAAATCTTATGTTTTAAACTAACAACAAAATAATAATAAAAATACATTTGAATAGAATTAGGTAATTCTACAGATTACTAAATATGACAATGATTAATAAGAAATTCCCGACTGTAAAATACATAAAAAAGTAAATACCTACAGGGCATGAAATTAATCTTCTTTTAAGTCCCACCATGGCATAGTCATTCAAATTTTTAGTTATCTGAAGATATATTTGGTCACCAATAAAATTATTCCTAAGATTTATCTTTTTCAAATACATTAGCATGCAAACCAACATCCAACTATTTTAGTTTCTTTTAGTTTGGTTCTTTATCAGAAAGTTTTTATTAAGGTGTACATACTATGTAAAAGTAGACAGTCATCTTTTCCATTGGCAGAACTGATGGATCCTTGAGGATATAACCTCCCACATTTTGCAAGTGAAATGACCATCAGTCATATGGGTAGTATACATACCCCTGAGAAGACTATTATTTTGTGTACATAATGCTTTGTTTTCTCATTTCGTAATATATTTGGATTTAGATAGATTTTTAAAACCGCTTGTTTCTACTTGCATAGACAGCTCTTTCCAGTAAAACACCATCCTTAATAATTTCTTGTGAATTACTGGCACCATAACCATTTCAGGAGAATATAGAAAATGAAGGGTATTGATGTTGATGGAAGGAGTGACCACCATCCATACCAGGGGTATAAGGAGCCAGCAGCAAGAGATCCCACAATCAAGCCCAGAGAGAGAGAGAGCTGAGGGTGAAGCCTCCAATAAAACTATCTGAGGTGTTTACAATCAATCTACTCCACACAGTAGAAACGTCTAGGAGATGGCTACTAACTGGACTGAGGCTTGGGCTATATTACAGAGAGAAAGATTGGCTATTGCAGAGGGTAACAACTGTATTACAGTTTGATCAAGGAAGAGGTGCACCACTTGTTTAATGGTTATGACCTCCTATACTGTTAATGAGAAGGAGCTTTTTCATGGGTACTACATCTGCTCTGAATGAATCCAATAATTCCTATTCATCAAGAAACATTAAGTTTAAACACTACTCAACAGGATCTCAAGTGAATTGGTTGTTGGAAAAATGATTTTACAGAAGCCAGTTGATCAATTCAGAAATCCAGTAGAGGGTGACTGCCAATGTTTTTGATGAAGTATGTACACTGTGTTTTTTTGAGCATTGATTTGAATAAATAATGTTTTCATTTTGTATAAACCATTGTATATTATAGATCAAATCTAAAGTCTATGAATTTGATCACATTTTAATAATGAAAAGAGTCTGAACACTATGTTTGACAAAATGAAACTAACTTTAGTGAGCTCAAAAGCAATCAAAACAGTGACACGTATTTTTGTGAATTGCATGATGGATTTCCAGTCTGACCATGATTTCTTACACAGTGAAAAAGTGGACTAAATTTCCAAACTTTTGACCAAGAGCTGATCTGATGCCCATGGACAAATATGTGTATTTTTCTCAAACACCAGATATGGAAAAGCTTATTGATTGGCCCTGAAATCTTCATGGGCTAAGCAACCCCCATCAACAGCTATAGATGAGGCAAAAGTCAAGCCTCCACTAATACCAGTTGTGGAGGGAACAACAATGACAACTACCTCATCCACTCTAGAGTAGCCAATCCTCAAAGAAGCTGTCCATGATGGCTCTCCCAAGGAAGAGCAAGCACCTGTTAAGAATTGGGACTTATCAGATGTCCTGTTGGAAGATTCAATGTCATCTCACATTAGTGTTGCCAGATGTTTTCTCACTTGTGATGGGTGCATCATATTCCAAAAATACCTTTCTGGAGCTTGGATTATTTGGAAGGTTGAATAGACTTTGCTACCACCTGGTACTACCTTTGGACCACCTGGTCTGAAATTACGCTCATTGTCATGCAGATAAGTCCAATGAATTGGATACTTTGACAACAATGCAGAATAATCATTGACTAAATATGCACTACCTGCACTTGTGTTTAAAAATTGTAAATTATAATAAATAATTAAAAACAACATTTTGTATTTACACAATAAAAGCTTTATTGAAGCTGTACAGCTTCCACTTTAAAATAGAAACATCACTCCAAATGTACATGTTTCCAAGTGATCTACTTACAAGACTATTTTATACTTTCCCCTTATTGCATTACTTCATTGTTATTTGCATATTTCCTTGGTGTAATAAAAAAAAACAATATTTATAATATATCTCACCATATATCAATGTATTGACTTTCTGGTCCTCCATCTCTATTTAATACTTTTTTTTTATTATATTTCATTATTTCTAATGTTTCTCTAATATTTAATGATATAAAA